GGGCTTTCAAGCATGGTCCAACGATCTCTGACGCTGCGTTGGGCATGTTATGGTTCACAGGGGAAGAAAACGAGAGTAGTTCGCAGTAGGAACTTGGGGTCAGAGATCCTGAAACTTCAGTCCGTCTCGTGGGGGAACACACAGAAGCTGAGATCTCTGTTCCCCGCCCCCCAGCGCCGCGCGACGCGTCCACCGTGGCGTGTTCGACTTCTGCTGCCTCTCGCTCGACATGGAGTGACTTTTCGAGACCGCCGACCCCGACTTCGTACGGCGAAGTGCTCTCGGTTTCTTCCACAGTGGCCCGGAACATGCTGAACGCAGCGTCGGATATCGCTCGACCATCGTCCAACCCCCTCAATTATCATTTGTCCGAATCCCGAATAATGAACCGTTCGTTCTGTGTATGCGGGCACGGGCCGGGCACGGGCCGGGGAGGCCCGGCACGGGCCCGGCACGGGGCCCCGGGCACGGCCCGGGCACGGGCCGGGGACGTGGCCGGGGACCGCGGCACGCACCGTCGCGCAGGGCCCCCTTGGACGCCTCCATGGCCAAAGACTTGGCAAAGTTGGAAATCTCCACAAGTGCCTGCGATCGACAGCTCAGCCATGCTGGCGCCCGCGCTGCGGCGCGCGTGCGCGCGACGACCACCGCCGCATTGGCGCCACCGGTCGCTCTCGTCGCGCGCCGAGGCGCGCGCGCGCGCGGAGCGGGACCTCGGCGAGCGGAACACGCGCGTCCTGCTCTACGGCTGCTCCGTCGTCGTGTCCACGCTGGGCCTCTGCTACGCGTCCGTGCCGCTCTACAAGGTCTTCTGCCAGACGACGGGCTTCGGCGGCACGACGAAGCGCGCGGACCCGGAGGAGGCGGCGCGGCTGCTCGCGCCCGTCGAGGGCGGCCGCGTGCTGCGCGTCACGTTCGACGCGCACGTGTCCGACAGCCTGCCCTGGTCGTTCGCGCCGGCCCAGCGCGACGTGCGGCTCGTGCCCGGCGAGAGCGCCCTGGCCTTCTACACGGCGACGAACACCGCGGACCACGCCATCACGGGCGTCGCGACGTACAACGTGCAGCCGCCGCAGGCCGGGCAGTACTTCGTGAAGATCCAGTGCTTCTGCTTCGACGAGCAGCGGCTCGGCGCGGGCGAGGAGGTCGACATGCCCGTGCTCTTCGTCGTCGACCCGGCCTACCTCGACGACCCGGCGCTGAAGCGCGTCTCGAACCTCACGCTGTCCTACAACTTCTTCAAGACGGGCGACGACCTCGACGACGACGACGACGACGACGACGACGACGACGACGTCGAGCTGTACCCGGGCGACGACGACGAGGGAGACGGCGCGCGAGGGGCGTAACGGCGCGATTTTGGCCCGCGCGGGCGGCCGGAGCTGAGGACAGCGTAGGCCTCAGCGTGCGCATCGCGCGTGGCACACGACCGTGCTAGGCTAGGAGAGGTTAAGGTTAACAGCTAGAGGGCCTACCCGGCCTCTATTATCTCGTGCAGGGTGGGCAGCCCCTCTGTAGCCCGCCCCCGCGACGCGCGGGGGCGATGGTGCGCACGCGGCGGGCCCCGCGCCTCGGTCGCGGCCGCCCCGTGACCCTGCTGGACCTGAGCGACGACGGCCTGCGGCGCGCCCTCGCGCACGTGCCCCTGGACAGCCACGCGGCGTGCCAGAACACGTGCCGGCGGCTCCGGGACCTCGGCGGCGGCGCCGTCTACCGGCGCGAGCGCGCGGACAGCGGCTGCGAGGAGACGGCGCTCCTCGTCACGGGCGGCACGTCGCGCGCGCGCGGCGCGTGGTCCGAGGCGACGTTCGTGCTCGGCGCCGACGGCTGCTGGGCGACGCGGCGGTCGGTGAACTATAACCCGGCGCCGGGCCGGGGCCGCGCGTGCTCGGGCGACGCGGGCTGCGCGGCGGTCGTCGGCGACGAGCTGCTCCTCGTGGGCCCCGTGGTGCGCTTCGGCCTGCCGTCGGACTCGTTCATGGCGTACGACGTCCGCCGCGACGCGTGGCGCGACTCCTACGCGCACGCGCGGGCGTCGCGGCGCAATCGCGTGGCGTGCCCGCCCATGGCCCTGGGCCGGCGCTTCGCGGCCTGCGGCTGCGTCGCGGGGCGCCTCGTCGTCTGCGGCGGCGAGACGGAGCAGGCCGCGGTCGTCGGCGGCGACGGCGACGCGCCGGGCTGCGCGATGGCCGTCACGGGCCGCTGCGACGCCTTCGCGCCGGCGAGCCGCGAGTGGGTCGAGCGCGCGTTGCCGGACATGCCCCTGGGCGTCGCGCACGCGGCCTACGGCGTCGTCCGGGGCAAGCTCCTCGTCGCCGGCGGCGTCTACACGGCGGGCCTCCGCGACGGCCTCGAGGGCGAGTCGACCCTGCTCCAGACCTTCGACCCGGCGACGGGACACTGGACCGCGGAGCCCATCGACCTGCCATCGGACGACGCGTTCGGCCCCTTCCCGGGCACGCGCCGCGGCTGCGCGGTCGGCGGCGGCGCGCTCGTCGTCGTCTGCGGCGGCGCGCGCGAGCACCGCCTCGTCGACGACGACGACGCGCCCGGCGGGCACCGCTTCGAGGTCGTCGAGGCGCCGCCGCGGACCTACGCCTACGCCGACGGGTCCTGGACCGAGCTGCCGCCGCTGCCGGAGCAGGACAAGGGTGATTCGACGTCGCTTCAACGTGAGTGTTCCGCGCGCGCGCGTTCCGGAAAGAGCATCCCCGCTTCGAGAGCGCTCCGAGAGATGATCGCTCGTCCAAAAATCAGCCGAAACGAGTGGAAAACGGCCGAGAGCGGAGCCTTTGAAGTTGGGCATGTCGCACCCTTGTCCCGCCCAGGCCGCTGCCGGAGCTCCGCGAGGGCTTCTCGGCCGCGGAGCACGGCGGCGACGTCTACGTGATCGGCGGCGCCGGCGCGTCGCCGACGGCGCCGCCGCTCCTCCTGCGGCCCGGGGGCTGGGTCCCCGTCCCCGGCGCGCCGGCCGAAATGTCGCGCCTCGAGCGGCCCGCCGTGTGGAAAATCTTCAACCCGACTTCAATGTGCGCATATGCGACAGTTTCGACGCACGCTCTTCGGTCGTGCTTCGAGAACTCGACGAGAGCAATCGATTCGTCCAAAAATCAGCCGAATCGACTTCGATGTGACCGAGCTCGAGAATTCTCAAGTTTGGTCAGGACCACCCAAACCAGCGGTTGAATTCCACACAGGCGGCCCGCCGTCGCGTCCGTCGTCCTCGGCTAGGCGCGCCGGTCGCGCCCGGCCTCCGGCCCCGCGCCCCCCGCGCGCCCCGCCCCCCCCCCCCCCGTGCACATAGCCCTGTCCATAGCTAGCAGAAGAGGTGGTCGTCGTCGCTCGGGTCCGTCGCCTCGGCGACGACCATGAGCACCCGGCCGGGCTTGACGTGGCTCATGGACACGAAGCGCCAGAAGCCCGCGGGCTTCCGCTCGGCCGCGGGCAGCGTCGCGTTGTGCGCCTCGCCGTACTGAGCGACGATGTCGTCCATGCTCAGCTTGGGCCCGACCTTGAGCACGACCGGGGCGACGTCGTCCTGCTTGCGCTTCTGGACGCAGATGATCACGCTCTCGCCGCTCATCGCGTCCGAGCGCGCGCGGCGCCAACCAGGACGGCGGCCGGCGAGCACGAGGCGCGAGCT